AACAGAATGCATTATGCACTTACATTTTAAAGGGACTTCATTCACTACCAAATTGGAAAAAAATCTATACCCACTTAAATGTTCTTTGTTTCAATACTAAAAAGCAAATGAGGAGAGTTATAACATAAGGAACCTGAAGAAGAACATTTTCAATGGGAGGTTTTAAAATGCAATCTAGTGTTAAAATTTAACAGCTTTTTGATATGATTTTATTCTACACATGGATAGTTCTCTTGCACATTCATCCTAACATTATTTTTAAACTATAACCCAAATTTTGTACTTCAGGCCTAAATATTATCTGAGACCTATGCACTTGGATGATCTGTAAACACCCCAAACTGCATATGAATTGATCTCTTAATCCTCCCTTGCCTCATCCCCAAGTCATTCTTTCCTCAAATGTTCCCCAACTCAATGGATGGTATCTCCAATCAGTCATTTACCAAAGACAAAAACTTGATGATGCTCCTGGATTCCTCCCTCTTCTCAATTTCTACAATCAAACATCAGAGTGTTTCTTCTACCTGTAAAATAGTTCTAAAGCTCACCAACCTCTCTCAAACTCTTCCACCACTGTCCTAGTTCAGGCCACTGTCATTTTTCCTCAGAAATACTGCTGCAGCCTCCTGTTTTCCCCATTTCTTCTGTGTTCTCCTTCTAACCACGTCTCCAAAGCTGTCTTTGTTGTTGTTGTTGTTGTTTGTTTGTTTGTTTGTTTAGAGGTGGGTACCAGGAATTGAACCCAGGGCACTGAGCCACATCCCCAGCCCTTTTTATTTTTATTTATTTATTTATTTATTTTTGAGACAGGATCTCGATGAGTTGCCTAGGGCCTCTCTAAATTGCTGAGGCTGGCTTTGAACTTGTCACCAGGTATGTTGGTGCACACCTGTAATCCTGTCTTGGCCTCCTAAGACACTGGGATTACAGGTGTGCACCAACATACCTGGTTAAAGCCAGCTTTTTAAAAGCACTCTCTAAATGCTTACTTTCTCCACTTCAAGTCAACCAAACATTCCCACAGGACATTTAAGACTACAAATACCAGAATACAGTTTAAAAAGTCCTTTTTAATCTAATCCCCACTAAATCTTCCAATCTCATCTCTAGCTCCTTTCTTTTTCTTCCCCATTTTCCCTCCACAATTGAAGCTTCCCATTTCTCAGACTGCCAAATTTCCTAGTGCCTGGGTGCATAGATCACTCCCCCTCCTCTTTTAAACATCCTATTCATATTTAAGGCTGGAACAAGAAGGTCGCAGCTTCCACAAAACCTTCCCTGATGCAACTCCTTAAATACAGACATATGTAGTCACCCCATTCTTGTCTATCCTCCAATAGACTATAAGCTCCCTGAGGGCAATCAATAACCATGTCATTTTGTTTCACAGTTATATATCCAGCAACTCTCTGACATAATGCTAAATATCACTTAAGTGAATATACAGCTAGTTCCATTTAAATAAAAGGAACTGAATATCAAACTTGATATAATATAGAGTAGTATCTCCATACCCTCCAAACACTTAAGCCTTCTCAGCTACCACCTTGACTATTAGCAAAATCCTTCTAGAACTGGAACTCAGCAAGGTAGCATAGTGTTGGTGCTTTTCACCAAGTGTGGATCCTCAAGAGAACATCCTCAGTAAAGATTTGAAAGGATATGACAGGCAGATGTGTAATCTTTACCAAAGAGAAGAATGTAAACATAGGAAAACATGGTCTTCCCCTACTGTCCTGCATCTCTCTAACCACTGACTCTAACCAGTTTCCCATACCTAGAGGTATGCTCCAGCTGTAGTCTTTGGGTTGTTGAAAGCTGAAAAGATCATCTTTTCTCTTACTAGAGAATGATAGGGAGATTGACTGTCTAGTAGTATTAACTGCAGTAGCCAAGTCACTGAAGTATTGGATAGCTTCTGCTTCCCTTCTTCAATCCCCCCACACTCAATCCAGGCCCCCACCCACTCTCTTTCTCCTTTTTTGTCCGCTTAGTTTTGCTCTCTGCCTTCTCCATTCCACATACCATCCAGGCCATACCCAGGACCCTCAGTTCAAGCTTTGGGTCAGCTCTCCCAGCTCTCTCAGTCCCGCCCCCATCCACACACACACACAAAAAAAACGCCTTGGTTTTTTTTTTTTTTTTTTTTTTTTTAAATTTTTTTTTTTTTTTTTTTTTTTTTTTTTTTTTTTTTTTTTTTTTTTTTTTTTTTTTAGTATTTATTTTTTAGTTCTCGGCGGACACAACATCTTTGTTGGTATGTGGTGCTGAGGATCGAACCTGGGCCGCACGCATGCCGGGCGAGCGCGCTACCGCTTGAGCCACATCCCCAGCCCAAAACGCCTTGTTATTGGGAGGTGCAATATATTTAACAGAGCTAGATGTAAGCATTAAAGAATTCCTCCTTTAAAACAAACATCTAATGAACTATCTTCCCCAATAACTGATCGGTAGGAGAGTCTCAAAATTACACATGAAAATAGCTGAAATTGGAATCTGTCTCCCACTTAAAAAAAGAAAAATTCCCCTTCCGTTTTTCTCTGTTTTCATTGTTCCTGTCTAGAACCAGGGCCTCCCATCAAATGCTGACGACTGCCTGCTGCATGCCCTGCCACATCAGCAGGGAGGGAGCCCAGAAGCATTTGGTATTTGCATCAGTTTCCAGGAATGCTTTTCAAGATATCAGTCCACTCTGCTGTTAGCAGATATGTTTTTCTTCTCAGTGAATATGTGTGTGCTTGAACTTCTATTTCTCTAATTCTCAAAAACTAGTGGACTTTTTGTTGGTTGGTTGGTTTGCTAAAAGGGAAATTATAATCACTTTCAAAAAATATTCTACATTTTAAACTATTTTGACGACAACAACAACAACAAAAAAGAAAACCCACAATTAAACGTTTAAGGTCTTAGATAGCTACTGCAGTCCAATGATTTGGCCAACTTGACCCCAGAAGCATGAGATAACTTTCCCTGAAGGGCATTGAAGTATTTCTTTCATAAATCTATTTTCTTACAATCTTAAGTCATTTTGTTCAGGATTAATCTCTGACTTTCAGTATCATAGGACAAATGTACAAATAATGTTCTGCAAAAGCAATTCAACACCGTGGCAAAAATCGTAACTCACTCTTCTGATTAACACAAAAAAAATTGGCTATGTAGCACTGAAGTTTTTCTTTTCTATAAAAGTGATTTCTACTTTTAAAGTTTTTGGTTAGTTCTATAACAGCAATAATTTAGGGAAAGGGTAAAGATGGTCTTGGACTATGCAATTCAACCTCAGCTCTTTTGTGGTTGTTACCAGAACCTGTGAGACTTCAAACACTGTCACCTAGTTAGGAACAAACTAGAAAGTGGATTTCTTCTTGTAAACATCCTCCTAGGACTGACCAGACACCCTTTCAAATTCTTTTACTCCAAGTTATTTCAAAGTATCTTCCAAAGTTGTCTCCCAAGTCAGTGCCTATAAGAACAAACTGTTTATTGAAGTTTACTATAGTTATTATTTTACTTCTGCTAACTGTTTTTATTCTTTGAAGTTTCAAAAAAGCAGTTCATTTAAGAATATTCCAGCCCTTTGGTTTATAGCAGCTGCTGATGGAGTTAATTTATGCAGACATTCTTCCTCACAGCAAAGCAAGAAACGGAGAGGAGTGGATAAAGAAAAGGGAAGATTCCCAAGGAATCCATCCGTTTCTGTTTCTAGTGGACACAGAATTGACCTAAAGATGTTCCTTTTGTGATAACTTCTGGGATAGAATGACAGTCTGACTAGTCCATCACTATTTCATTAGGGATGTTTGGCAGACTGAGAAGTTGAGACCCATAGTCTTCAACAAACCCTGGTCCAAGAATGACATCCCAAGAGGATTTTGGAGACAGTATTAAGAATACAATTTTGGGGAGACCTGGCCTTCAGCCTCTCAAGTCTCAGGGTCAAGGTTCCATGTCATTCCCTCCCTGTTGGGGAGTTGAGAACTGAATGAAGGCAAGGGAAGAAGGAGGTTAGGTGTCAGGGAAAGAGTTAACATCCACGTTGCAGGGGACAATCTTGGAGTGTTGACAAAAGACTGTGCACAACTCAACCTCAGAAGGTCCTCTAGATGCCCTAGATGTTTTCTCCTGTGTGAGAGAGAAGAGAGGCTAGAGAATGAAGGTGTCAGCTTTAAGAGAGGTGTCAGTGAATGGACAGCAAGGCTAAGAGAACTGGGGACTCAGAGGAGGGTTATCTGGGTCCAGGCTCCGGGTACAGCTGGTAAACCTGGACCGTAAAGAAGAGGAGAAATATGAAGGGAAGTAGGTTCCCTACGGCCACCTTACAGAGGAGAAACTGAGGAAGAGAAGTCACCAGGTCAGATGCAGACATTTTACAGGTCCAGATAGTCCCTAAGATAAAATTTAGAATTAGCCTTAGCAGAAGCAAACCAGGAGTTGAAGTGCTTTCCTGATGGCTTGATCTAGGCTAGTGTGCATGACACCTACCCTTTCTGGTGCTGGGTGCCACGCCGTTTCTTCCCTGCTCCCCACCCAAGCA